TGCTGCTTGGCCTGCTGTGTTCATCCAGCCCTGCACCTTGTTGTCTCCATAAAATGGAGATGTTTATGAAGAACATTCCAGATTTGGGCCCTGGGCAGCTGGAAGTACAACTGTCATTACTGAAGCAATTAAAATAGGAAATGCTCAAGTGTCCAGAATTAAAGGACTGCAGATAACTCAAAAGATTATAGGTTTGGAGGAAGTTACAGAAATAGAGATGGACTAAGCGATAACAACGCAAGAATGAGCATTTTACATACCATGCTGAAAAATATTGTAGGTCAGCAGGCATAGGACTGATGGGGGAATAAAATTAGTTTCATGTTAATATATGGGTAGCAGGATTCTAGTCAAATCAATGTCACTTACAACCCCTCTTTCAAAATTTCAACTATCTGGCCTTTGACCCTTCATTTGCCAGAACATTTAGAACATGGGCAGCACAGTGGCTCAGTGGTTAGCACTGCTGCCTCACAGCACCAGGGACCTGGGTTCAATTCCACCCCCGGGTGACTGCCTGTGTGGAGTTTGCACATTCTCCCTGTGTCTATGTGGGTTTCCTCCGGGTGCTCCGCTTTCCTCCCACAGTCCAAAGACATGCAGGTTAGGTGGATTGGCCATGCTAAATTGCCTGTAGTGTTCAGAGATGTGTAGTGTAAGTGGGTTATAGGGGGATGAGTCTAGGTGTGAAGCTCCAAGGGTCAGTGTGGGCCTGTTTCCACACTGTAGGGATTTTTTGATTCTATGAAGATAACAACATAAGAACCAGGAGCAGGAGCAGCAATTCGGCCCATCAAGCCTGTTTCACTATTCCATACCATCATGGTTGACCTCATTTTGGCCTCAACTCTATTTTCCTGCTTGCTTTCCATAACCCTTCAACTCATTACTAATTAAAATCTGCCTATCTCCTCCTTAAATTTACCCAGTGTTCCACTATCTACCACATTCTGGGATTTTGAATTCTACAGGTTGATTATCCTTTGAGAGAAGTAATTTCTCCTTATCTCTGTTTTAAATTTGCTACCACTCATCCTAAAATTATGATCTCTCATTCCAGATTGCCACACATGAGGCAACATCCACAGTGTCAAATTTGTCAATCCCCTTTAGCATCTTATATACCTCAATTAGATCTCGTCTCATTCTTCCAAACTCCAGAGAGAATAGGCCTAAACTGCTCAACATCTCCTCATAAGATAAACCTCTCATCTCTGGGATCAATCTAGTGAATCTTCTCTGAACTACCCCCAATACAACTACATCCCTCCTCAAGTAAGGGGAACAAAATTATACAAGGTAGCACAGATGTAGTCTCACTAATGATTTGTAAAGTTGCAGCAACACTTCCCTACTTTTATATTCTGTTACTTTAGCAAGAAATGTCAAAATTCCATTAGCGTTCCTTCTATCTGATATACCTGTGTAGCAGGTCTGTGATTCATTAAACAGTTACATTTTTGGTCAATCATATCATTCCTTCCAACTTTGAGATAGTACAAGCTGCCAATGCTGGAGTCAGAGAAAACACAGTGTGGAGCTGGAGGAACATAGCAGACTAGTCAGCATTCTGCTCCTCTGATGCTGCCTGGCCCACTGTGCTCCTCCAGCTCCACACTGTGTTATCTATTCCTTCCAACTTTAATGGTCTAATTTCAAATAAAATCATTATACACTTTCACCATCCTGACATGTACCCGACTACAGCACTCAATTGCCCATCCTTCAGTGTAAGAGGAACAAACTTGTAAGAAAATGGGAGAAAACTGTTTAACCAATCACCATCAGCCCTGGTTAAGCATTATCAGATTCTATGGTTGGAAATTAAAGTTACTCACTGTTTCAGGATCTAAAGGAAAGGTACCTCGCTGTTTCTTACTCAACTGCAATCTGTCTTTGCAAACCCTGTTTCCTTGGCTCAGCCACCTTCATCCAACAGTGACTGCAAGTAATTCATGGACCTCTTTGCTACTAAGATCGAGATTATCCAATTAGCAGTCACTCTCATGTCCTCTTCATCTAATAGGACAAACTTCCTTGGAAGCTGGCCTTTCCCAGCCTTGAACTTGCATCTTTCCCTCAGTTCTCTCCTATCATACCTTCTCTGAGCTTGTCTTGTCCCTGAGAGCCAAATTCTTGCTCCCTTGAATTTCTTCCCTCTAAATTGATCATCCAGTTTCCCTCCTGGCACCATGTTAGTGTATGTTATTAACATGTAATTGTACAATTGCAAGATCACCTATTTATACCTTCATAGCATTGCTCAAATTCACCTGAAACTATTCAGGCCATTGCTTATTCTAAATTTGACTATTCTAATACACTCATGGCTGGTCTCCCACATTCAACCCCATTATTTGAGGTAATTCTAATATCTACTGCTCATGTTAATTTTTAGCAAGTTCCAGTCCCCCATCATTGTTGTACTCACTGAACCACACTGGCTCTGAGCTAAGCAATATCTTGATTTTAAAGTGTTTATCCTGTTTTTCCTATTCACCCCTCCATATCTCTAATACTCCCTAGCACCGTGACCCTACGAGAAATCTTTTCCTCTGATTCTATCACCTTGAGCATCCTCGATTTTAATTGTTCCACTATTAATGGCTTAGGTTAGGTTGCTTAAGCACAGAACTCTGGCATACTGTCTCTTCACTACTCCCCTTCTTTGCTTCACTTTCCTCCTTTAAGGTACTGCTTAAGTTCTACATCCTTGAACAAGCTCCACTTTCTATTGAGGTGAGTTGCAGATCGACAGCAGAATCAAGTAGGAAAGTTGTACTGCAGAATTCATAAGCATCATCACATCAGTATAACTCGACGCACTACCATGTTTCATAGGGCTGTGAAGTTGACATGACTGGAACCCCCGGGTCTGGTGGCTCCCAATAATTTTTCACTTTCCATTTAGCTGCTAGTAAACCTGGGAATACAAGGCCAAAAGACTTAGCCCTAAAGTATTTACAGCCGAGCAGCTGAAAACGCCAAGTTTACCTCCACCGAAAGGAGCCCAAATCACTCTGCGAATGGTCTTCACCCAGTCTTCCATATCATTCTGTGCACTGGCCATGAGGAGATAGGTTTCATGGTTAGCGGTCATCCGATCACGATCTCCACCTGGAAGGCACAACACAGCAGTGACATCCACAGGGAAATTATTTGAATGATTTAGGGCGAGTAAATCTTTTATCAGAACCCTGCTGCGGACAAACAGCTTATTTGCTGGTTCTCCAGAGAAATCAGGGCTGTGAATGCAGTCGTGTTCAAAAATACATGGAGAACAGGTAACAGAATCTCTCTAACATGCTTTATCACCGTGACACCCTGTCAACGGCTGTGAACCATATTAATACATCCATATCCAAGTGAAAAGGAGTGTCTATTTTGGCCAGTATTTCTCTTCTTGCTCTCTTTTGCTGCTTGCTGGGGTATGGCACCCAAAGCCTTAGCTACCCAAATGATGAGTCTTCAATGGTAAACCTAGATAGTGAATTACTTGACAGATTGTCATGGCACGTTAGTCAGGGAGCAGTTGGTGGCTAAAGGCCTTCAACTCTTGTCCCCAGCGTCTTTGTGATCTTTGCCATCATCCCAGCCTTGGTTTTCATATATTTTTCATCAACATGTTTGGATATGTTATGACACACCACTGGAATAGGTGAGATTTGAACCCAGGCCTCGTGGCTCAGAGTTAGGGACACTGCCACTGCACCACAGGAGTCCCAGCCCTGCTTTTCATTGTTAACCAATTAAATATCTGACAGTAAGGGGCAGCATGAGTTCAGTTCAATCCTCTTCATATTGGATTGTCCTTTGCAGCAGGGCTCATGGAAAGCAACCAGAAGCAGTTGCCTGTTTTTCTAATATTCGCTTGTATCGGAACATTGTCATGACCCACTGGGGTAGTGTGCCAATACTCAAGCTCAACTATTCCTGGGTTGTCAGGAATGGGACAGAAAGTAGTCAAACTATCCAAAGTCCCCAGTTTACCTGACTGACTAAAGAAATGCTCGCCAAATTTTTTGTACTAAATAAGAAAATAGCTATTTATTTCCAAAGATTGTTTCAAACAAATAACAGAAAAGAAATATGAATGGCTACTTTATAAATCTGTAGCTTAAACTCCACCCCTTTTAATTTCCACCTTTCTCAAACAGACAGGCACTTAAAGGTAAATAAGACATGAACATCAAGGGTGGAAAAAGAAAAAGAAATTAAAGAAACACACAGTTCGATAACAACAGGCTGGACCAAAGGAATTAATTAATTGCTTTCTTTTCATTGCTTCTAACTCCATTTAGTTATTTGCTCTTAGTACAAGATTGTTTTGCGCACAAATGCTCAGTCTTTCATATGCTGGTTGACAATTCATCCTTTCAACATATGTGAAGGTGTTTTAATTGTCCTTCAACAGAAGATTTGCAGAGAAAGCTGAGTGGAAGCCAGCTAGCTGTTACTGGAGACTTTCTGGGACAAGAGAGAGACAGACAGAGGTTTCTCTTTGCAGGCTAGACATTTCTGCTGTATTGGCTTTACACAAGCCATGGTCACCTGTTCAGGAGCCAATCAATACTTTATTATCAAGTAATTGTCTCCTAGTTCAGAGCCCACCAGCTCCTGCTGTCTGTTTTCATTCTCGTGGTTCTGGGAAAAAGCAACATTGCACAGTGTACACCTCATCATTGATCCAGGAAACGTGATTTTTAAAATTGTAGCTATCTCTTTAAACAGTTTCCTTTTTAAAAGCAGTATTTTCCTTTTTTAGTCGATAGTCCAAACACAAATGAAATAAAACATTGTGGTCTTTGCAACATTTGCATCTCTCACAATTACCACTACAGTTGAGGAAAATGCATAACGTGAGATCCAACTGTTTAGGTGTTTTTTCGCAAAAAACTACTGGATGCTTTATCTAAGATGGTGCAAAGCATTGGCCATTTCCACCCTTGTCAGCTTTCCTCCTCAGTCTCTTCAACCCATGAGAAACTCTGGCACACTGGACTGTCCCTACCCCTGGACTGGGAGGCCCGGGTTTAAGTCCCACCTGCTCTAGAGACATGTAATAACATATCTGAACAAGTTGATTAGGAAAATAAGTTAATTAAATAAATACAAATAAACTACAAATTGGAGATCTGCAGCCTGCACTTTGATCCTGTCTATATACCCTCACACCTCTCCTACCCAGATTCAATTATCCTTATGGTCTACTCCACACAATTAATTTTCAGATTTCTGTCTTCATCTTAAATTTCATTTATGACACCATCTCTCACAATTCCACAATCTCCTTCACCCCCTTCTCTCCACCCAACCCTCTTCTCCAACACCACAATATTCCGCAAAAATGACCCTGGCCTTCCAGTTGCCTGCCACTTTGACACACTACTCTGTTCCTTGGCTAACATCTCTGTCTCAGGCTTGCTGCAGTGCTCCAGCGAAGGTCAGCACAAGCTGGAAGAACAGCACTTCATTTTCTGCTTGGGGACCCTACAGCTTTGTGGATTCAATATCAAGTTCAACAACTTTAGGGCTTGAGCTCTCCCATGTGCCTTCCCCAACTCCTATATACCAGGCCTTTTCTCAAACGGTCTGCTATTACACACAACCCATTGTTAGCCATTAACAGTCCCCATTAGTAGCTATTCATTCTCCCAGGCTGATCATTATCCCCTCCTTTGACTGTCCAACCGTTCTTCTCTCTCTTTAGGTTCTTTCTTAACCTATTACTTACTCCTTACCCCCTCCCTGCCTTCCCCCCTGGCCCCCATCACTCTATCTTCTGCATAAAAACCAACCTTTCCTAGCCACCACCAGTTCTGAGGAAGGACCACAGAACCCAAACATTAACTGATTTCTCTTCACAGATGCTGCCAGACCTGCTGAGCTTTTCCAGAAATTTCTGTTTTTGTTTGCAACCATAATATTCTTTGCTGCCTATTTTATCCACACCACCATTGGCAGCTATGCCAACATCCACAACTAATCCCCATCCTGAAACTCCATTCCTTTGTATCTCCTCTTATCAACCTCTTTCTCTGTCTCAAAACCTCAAGAAGATCCTTCTCTTTGCCTATGCTTCCATTTCCTCAACAGGTCCAGTGCCAGTTGCTCTTCACTGTCCAGTAAACTGCTCCGAGAGATCTCTTGAATAAATGGGATATCATTGAGATGGCAACTGTTGTCACTGTGGAAGTGACAGTAACCGGTATCTATGCCTCCTTTTGGATTGTAAACCGAGCCAAGTTTGTTCGGGAAATTAGTAGGCAATAGGCCCAAAATAGTTGGTGACCATGTGCAGTCACCAGAGGCTTGAGGCTTCTCCAAAATCCGGTGCCAGATGTACTTCAGCATTAACTGGCATGGGATATCATGCTGCAAAATTATCTGATTTGTGTATGAAAACTGGACAAAATGCAGTCCAACACCTCTCCCATTAGGGTAAATAATACTTTATAAAATGATGTAAATTGGTTGTGCGTGCGTGCCTCCTTGTTTGTGTGTGTTTGCATGTATGTGTGTGTGTGTGTGTGTTATGTGTGGGAGGCTGCGTGTGTGTATCCATGTCTAGTTGTTTGTGATAGAAATGCAAAAGGTTGTAACTTAACCAGGAAGAATTTCAACAGTAACATACCAGTCTAGACATTGTTGTGAAAGCAGAAAAAAAAAGCTTGATTAGACTGATAGTCCGGTTATCTGATCATTTCTTTCAATACTTGTTCAAAACAAAACCTTCACATTTCCAAAACAAGGAAAGGTTTCTGAATGCATTCTACAAGATGGTTAAAATCCTTGCTGTTTGATGTGGACTTTATCTAGACTAAGCCTGACAGCTTTATCTCAGGCGATTGCTTCTCTGGCGGCCTGACTGAACACACAGAAAACAAACCTCCAACATGAGTTCTGGCAATATTTTTTAAAAATGGCTAAAATGAAAAACAAAGGCCTCTACTTTGAGTATCACGTTGATTCTCAGCATTGTATTCTACGAAAATAAAGATATTAGCTTCATCTGTATAGAGCGTTGGTGGGACTACATCTCAAATACTGTTTGCATATTGGTCTCCTTATTTAAGGAAGAATGCAAATTTGTTGGAGATGGTTCATGGGACCTTTATTAATTTGATACCTGGAATGAGTGAGCTGTCTTATGAGGATGTGTTAGACAAGCTGGGCATGTTTCCACTGGAGTTTAGAAGAGTGAGGGGTGAGTTGATTGAAGTTTACAAGATCCTTAATGGTCTTGACAAGGTGGATGTAGAAAGGATGTTTCCTCTTGTGAGTGTGTCAAGAAATTAGGTGCCAACCTTTTAAGACAGAATTGAGGAGAATTATTTTTGCTGGGAAGGTTATGACTTTATAACTTGATGTCTGAGAAGGCAGTGAAGGTAGAGTCATTGAATACTGCTAAGGCAGAACTAGATCTCGAACTAGTTCTGAGGAACGGTCACCGGACCTGAAATGTTAATTCTGTCTTCTCCTTCACAGATGCTGCCAGACCTGCTGAGCTTTTCCAGCAACTTTGTTTTTGTTTCTGATTTACAGCATCCGCAGTTCTTTTGGTTTTTAGATCCAATTCTTGTTAGGCAAGGGAATCAAAAGTTATTGGGGCAGTTGGAAAGGTAGAATTTGAAGCACAAATAGATCAGCCATGATCTTATTGAATGGCAGGGCAGGCTTGAGGGGGCCAAATGGCCTACTTTGCTTCTACATCATTTGTTTGTATGATCTGAGTTTCACTCAGGATCTGAACCTTGAAAACCGTGCAATGTTGATCACATTTGATCTTATGATTACAAGATTAAGAAAAACCAACAATAATTTTACAGGGACGGAAATGTCAATGCCAAGGATCTAGACTGTTGGGGTGAGATTTCCCCTCAAAGGTGGTGACCTGGAGTCAGATCTGATCCTGCATCACACTCCACCTTCGTCTCCCCAACTTGCCGCAACGTGCAAATTTCTAGTAGCTATGGATTTAACTGTCCTGGAGATAGATCTGCCACCCAGTTTAGCAAACCAACTGCAAACGGGCTGATCCCGGAGTGAGACCTATGAGAAGCTTATCCTCCCTGCCACAGTGAAGTCACTTAGAAGGGGTGCTGAAAGATCTGATG